TATCTTCCAAAGAAAGAACTAGTTCACTATAACTAATAGTTCTAATATTAAGCATGTACTCCCCCCTGAATTTGAGAAAAAGTTTGAAAAGGGGTCGTGAAACTCACCATTGCCGCGTGCTTTAATCGAGATTGGTTCCTTCTGGAAGGCTGTCAGAAGTTCGGGATCACTCGGACTTGAGGCAAGAAAGCTACCGAACGTGAGAGTTGGGGAGAGAGGTGAGATTTTGGGTGTGAAAGTAAGAGGCTTAGAATTTTTATTTATAGGCTTCAAAACGGAAAGTGTGTCGCGCTTTATGGGGGTGCACCACGCTTACGGGTGTTGGCTCCACCAAAAGGTTGCCACATGTCAATCACTCATTCATCCACATCACCAAATCTTTTCAAATCTCGACTGTTCAGTGATCACGTGACGCGCTCCGAGCGTGCCACACCATCCTTAATAGGTAAAATCTTGAATTTTCGAAAAGCATTAACTTTCACATACAAGCTCCGTTTTCGATGTTCTTTATATCCATGGGTTTGTACCGACGGCTTTCCTTTAGATTGTATTAGCTAATGTAGACTTTATTTTAAGCTCACATTTTTATAAGGGGTGTATCTTAAATGATTTTGCAAAAATCATAACTCTCTCATACAGAATCCATTTTCGGCATTCTTTATCTCACCAATTTTGTATCGAGGAGTACTACGATTCTCATTTACACTGTTTTGGTTAAAAGTCAACCAATTTTCTTTTAACTTTTTACGACACACATTTATGCACAGGGTTGATTTCTAAAACTTAGAAAAATCATATCTTCCTCATACGAAGTCAGATTTTTGTGTTTCTTATATTTTCGAGACTGTGACGATGTGTACTCTCGGAATATGTTATTATTTATATAAAATAATACAACTTTTTGCACGCCTATATTTTTAGTTTTCGGATGTTTCGACTAATTTTTCTTATATATGGACAACGTAATATTGTATTTTCATTATCTATTGACCAATATTACAAATTTAGCCTATTATATTTGATGTTTGTTATGTTTGCGATCTACGATTGGTGACAATTTTGATGATTGTCACACTTAGAAACTCGATGAGTATCCCCCCAGGAATGTTTATATTTATCTACCTAATTATAAAAGTTTGGATGGATGGGAAAAAATTTGTTACATAGATTTCATCAAAAGTCATGGGCTCCATTAGTGGCCTTAGAAATTCCGAGTACTCCAGTTAATTTCTTAGAAAGTCACAAAATATAGTATTAACAGAAACAAAGTGAGTATTATTTGCTTGTTTATTTATTGAAATATTGAAAAATGAAAAAAATGAAAAAAAGTTGTGAAAAGTAAAAAGAAGTGAAAAAAGAGAAAAAAGAGTTACAAAAAGGTTTGATGCAATAAAGTTTATATATATATATATATATATATATATATATATATATATATATATTATTTTCTTTTTAAGTCGTGTCACTTGTAATTTAACAATAACTTTTGAAACAAAAGGGGTAAATAAAAGAGCATAGGTTGTAGGAATGTAAAAATAATATACTTCAAATTGAGTGGGGAACGTTTATGAGGATTGTGAGTATTTAGAACTTGGGAAGTATTTAGGGTCTTTTAGACAGAAATATATGCATTTAGGTGAGGCGTAATTGATGAGACAATTCATATTGTTTTGTATTTAATGAGCAAAATTTTGATGTGATGTATTAAAATAAGTTTTGATTGGGGGTAAGCAAAAGACAAGTATGAGGTATTTTGATATTGCTAAAATTAGTCATATATTCTAAGCAATATTTAAGTACATTTAGCTACATTTTGGTTATTTATTAAGATATTTAGTATTTATTACATGTAAAATCTATTTTGTAGCGAAAAAGACTTTCTCGAAGGAAAATGAGTAAAATTGGATGGCTGGAGATTTAGATTATGGAAGCATTCATCTTGGTGAAGAAATCGTGCAAAATGTGGATGCCACGTCGTGCTCATAACATGCCACGAGGTGGTGACGTGTCTAGCCTAGAAGTTTTCCGGATGATAAGCATGGAAGACTTGGAGTTTACCTAGACAACGTTTCTCCCACGCGGTGGCGAGCCATTTGCCACGAAATGGCGACGCAATTTTGGTAACTTATATAAACAACCATTAGGTCAAATTTTGAGGAGAGCTACGATTACCTACGGCTAAGGACAATCAGAACCTTCCCAGAAACCCTAAGAAAGCCATAATTCGATTGGAGATCAATGATTCGAAGAGATCTACACAAAGGACATAATTAATCATTCAGTTTTCCTAGTTTAAACACATTTAATCTACTTTACTTCGTTTTTTATTGTGTTTCTGACTTAGTTATAGGCTAAATACCCTAACTTTCATTTATCATAGATGAACCTAATAACTATGTGTTGATTTCGACTTTCATGGATTAATTTATGTTGCTTTTTTACTTGTGTTTGATAAATCAATATCCTAACATGATAAAGTTCTAATTTTTATCACTTATCTGCAAGTTTGTGTAATTAAATGACTATTCTAGTTGCATAAACTTGATATTTAGTTATTTATGATCATTAAATTGCTAGATCCAGAGATGTAACAAATCCTAGCGTTAGGTGGTAATAGTTAGTAATTTTAACTGTGTTAGAGAACATTAATAATCATATTATGTGGTTGATTTATTGTCTTGGTCATAGATAAGTAAATCGCTAAATCTTGTCATTCATAGTCCAAATAACCTTAAAATCAATTTAGTGTTCACTTGTTGCATGGACATTGTAATAGTAGTTCATGAATTGATCAAACATTATGAAATCAGAACAGGATAACTAGTAACTCTATAATTTGGTAACTACATAACTAATCCATTGCATTAGAAATCAACCATAGGAAAAGGTGATTCGAAGCTAAACGAAAGTACTCTTTAATCTTGAATTAAAATCGTTTCTATTTTGTTTGCTTTAGTTTAAGTAAATTTAGTTAAAAGTTAGTTGATAACTAAGTTTTTCCGAACGTGCAAAATCAGATAAAAACCCTTAATTTATAGTTATTTTTCTAGTTTAATTAATAGCAATTATTTTCTTATTAAAATTTCCGTTCCCTGAGTTTGACACCCTACTTATTTTACTATACTATTACGCGACTAGGTACACTGCCTATTTGTGTTTTAGATGGTTAAATTAGCTAGAATTTGTAAATATTAAAACTAGTGCACGTAAAAGACACATCACCTTCTTCCCTACTCATTTCTATAGAAATCGATTTTAGAGAGATTGGGAGTGAGCGTGATGATTTAAAATATTAAAGGAGAGATTAGAGTTAAATTTAAGAATTATTGAAACAATTGAGCTTGAATAATCAGATTGAAGCCATAAAAGGTACATCTCTTGTAATCATCTCCACTTGAGACTGCCTAAAGGTTTTAATTCCCATGAATTCGAAATCCTATAGGTGATTAGGGTTTAGATAGAGTTATAATAAATAAATAAGTGTTTACTTATTTATTCAATACTATCCATTGACACTGTTTGGTTTTGATTCTAAGAGCTGTTTTAGAAGCACCAAACCCTAGCTATAATGTAATTTGAATATGAGATCTATAAAAAGAGATAGATTCTTGATATAGCTTTTATTTGAATTTTTTAAATTTACATTTTAGCTGATGAATCCAAAATATCTGGCCATTATCATCTATTGACCTAATTGAATTTTTCAAGTTGTCACGAGTTTCAGTGCCTCCACAATATCTGGCCATTATCATCTATTGACCTAATTGAATTTTTCAAGTTGTCACGAGTTTCAGTGCCTCATGATTTAGTTCTAGATTTATTAGAGAATAAATTACATGAACTGTCTCTCATGTAAGTGCCAAAAGACAGTTTAGTCCCTATTTTTAAAAATTAATTTGGATTGTCCCTTGTTTGTTTAAAACGTTCCCGCTTCATCCCTACCGGACATGAAATGACTAAATTGCCCTTTATATATATATATATATATATATATATATATATATATATATAATTTTGTTTTTGTTAAGAGTAAATTACATAAATCATCCATCGTGCAAGTGCCAAAAGACACATTTAGTCGTTACTCTAAAAAATTAAATCAAACCATTCATCGTTTGTTTAAAACTTCAATGCTTCATCCGAACATGAAATGACAAAATTTTCCTTATTTATTTATTTTGTATTTATTTATACTTTATCTATTATTATTTTTAATTATATATTTAGAAAAGAAAGTGAGCCCTTATATCACTGCCATCTGTTTCTCTCTTCACTATCCTCTTTCACAAATCTTGTAACCACCATCTCTATCTCAACTCTGGCAACCCAAATGAAACCAAAAATCAACTCTCGCATGCACCTGCATTTTCTAGAGCTAGGGTGCACAAACCCTAGTCGTCGCCAAATCTTACAACTCAACTAAAAAAGAAACAGGTGGTGGCAGTGGAGGGTTGTGTCGGTGGTGATGGTTTTTCCGGCTAGAACATATGGTGGCGATGGAGATGTTGCTCTACGATTGAAACATGTTCGGTGGTGCATGTTTGAAGCTGTAATGGCAAAAGGTTTTCCATGGGCCGGAGCGGAGGCAATCACATGTAAAGTTAGAGTTCCAGCGGCGGTGCTCCATCGAAAATGGGTACTTCGGCGAAGTCGACACCAGTGAAATTAGGGCTCCGATGGTGGTGCAGGGAGGATAACATCCAAATGTGTGTATGTGTGTGTGTGTGAGAGGTGGAGTGAGTGAGATTTTTTTTGAGTTTTTTAATTAAAAGAATAATATATTAATTAAAAAAATTAAAAAACTATTTTAGAGACATATTTGTCATTTTATATTGGATATTGACCAAAATCACAAAAAAAATCCACACACAAGATATCCAAAATTAAACAACCGACACTTTTTTAATTTTATGTTATTATTATTATTATTATTATTATTATCTATTTATTTATTTAGACTATTTTTAGTTGACCAATATAATTTTTGGAGTTTTGGGAACAATAATAAACAAGATTCCAATTTAAAACCCCAAAAGAGGGGTGAGGAATCCTGTTAAACGTTGAGGCGATCGATCGATCCAGGAGGAAAGAAAGGGGGAGAAATGGCTTCCGTGGTGAGGAACGTTCTGAAGAGCATCAGAGAGAAGGGTCTTGTAAGCTTCGCAAGAGAGCTTCGTGAAGAAGGATTTCTGTTCGTTCTTTTCCCCTTCCATCTATCTATATTTATTTTCCTTTCTCTAAAATTAATCGAATTAAAGATCTATCTCGAAAATGAGCTATTGTTCGTTCAATTTGATATTGACCTACTTCTTCTAGTGTGTATTGAGTGTGGTATGTAATAATTTCATGATGCATATCTGTAGATGAAGAGATGAAGAAAGAGGGGTGGGGATTAGATGATTGTTAGATTTTTGGAAATAGGCTTTTACAGTGTCGTAGATGCATTTCGCTCAAGTTGAGGGTAGTGTTTGTGTATGGGATTAAGTTATTTTTGTTGGTATTTCATCTTTTAGGGTTCTCTATTTCGAAATTAGTATGAATTCTCTAATATTATTATAGATTGATGATATTGCGTAGATTAGATTAATTATAGGCATTCGCTTTTAGGGTTTGCTAGTGTGGAAGTCATGAAATTGATGACATTTTTGAAAGAACAAAAGGGTAAGAAGACTGTTTATACGATTCAGATTCAGAAAAACCAAGAGGACTGTTTTTTTTTTTTTTTGATTATATACAAGCAAAATTACCCATGTTGGTTATTAGAAATTTATTGTAATAAAGAGATGATATTGATATTTCATGTGGCAATGTCACTATTGTTTCTTCCAATTCTAAATTAATCATTAGTAGAATATACATAATACATGCAGATTTATGGACTGTTTTTTCCTAATATTGATACCAGACATGAGTGATGATGATATTTGTATAATAATGAAAATCTTGAAGGACATATCATTTCTATAGTCATAGAAGAAATGGGTTAGTGTAGTTATTGATGTATATATAATCAGATGGATAATTGATAATCCACTTGTTTTTCTGTCAAAAAGTTATTGTGGACTGGACATATGATATATGAAAATAAAGAATGTTTTTATCTTTTACATGAATCTCATTCTTATCATGTTCCATTCATGCAACTGCATTTAACCTTTTTTTTTGTGCTTGTTTCAGGAATTGTCTAAGTGATGGAAATCTTTTGTAAGTAAAGCTCCTTGACTTATTATATATATATATATATATATATATATATATATATATATATATGGTTCAGCTATCAGCTACTAATTTATTAGTGTAGTGAATTAAGTCCATTTCTTTCCTATTTTGTGTGATGAATTATGTGTGCCAACCACAAACTGTATGGGGTCAAGGTTCCATTATCTGATGTATTACTTTCCTCAACTTAAACTTTGTTTGTAAAAAGATGTTGCCTCATTAAAATAACATGATTGATGCGTTACGATAATAAAAAATAAAAAATTTAAAAACATCATTGCTAATATCAGTATATATCATATTGAAAATTACAAATTCTTGGAGATATTATATAAAGCTACCTTTTCTGGGAATGCATGTAATTTTATTATTTACGATTTTTTTCTTGGGAAAGAGAGCATGCTTGATAACTTGGAAAATATGACGACTAAAAAGATAAAATGAAAACTCTGATGTAAGGAACTAATTTAATCTTAATTGTTACAACAATGATAAACCTTGACCTTGTAACTATTTAAGTCCTCAAGAAGTACCGACTCAACATTGAAAAGACCAGATTGCCCCTATTGACCCACCCTTAGTTCTGCAGTAATTTTATTTAACTCAAACTCAATCAATTCTTTTTTCTTCTTGCTCAAGTGAATTGCACATAACCTCTAATTGTTTCTTATGAAAAGTATTCAATCTAACCTTGCATGATATGCTCTTCGTTTCAAAATCATTTTTGCAATGGAAACTGGAAAGAAACCAAGGCTAAAATATGATTAATCCATTCTTAAAAATGCGCATTTGCTTAGAATCATCAACCCTACAGTTATTTGCATAAAAGGTAAAGGGCTAAAAGCTAAATGCAAGAAATAGCAACGTACTTTCATTATTTTTATTTTTATTTCTTTTTGTTACATACAGTATTATACCTCCAAATTTTTATTTTTTTTTCGTATTATCGGTACATTCTAGTTTGAATAATAGCTTTATATTTGGATGAGATTGCTATAAATATAATTGGTATATTCCTCAAAGTACTTTTTGTAGTAGGAAGAAATGAAAATACATAATAAAAGTTGTGTATTATTTATTTATGGTTAAGCACTTAAGCATGTTGAGTTTGAGGTATTAGAATGAATTATTTGGGAGTTATAATTAATTTTGGAATCTGAATGATTGGATTTAGGCAAACGAAGATTCACAACATTGGTGCTACGCTAGTGGGTGTTGACAAAGTTGGCAATAAATACTATGAGAAGCTTCATCAGACACAATATGGTGACTTTCTATTAAACCTGAAAGAAACATCACCATGGTTTCAATTGTTTTATCAAATTATATACTTTTTATTTAGGAATAAAAAAAAAAAAAGCAAAACTGTTTGGGTAATGTTTGTAGGAAGACACAGGTGGGTGGAATATGCTTCCAAGGATCGTTACAATGCTTCTCAGGTCCCACCCGAATGGCATGGTTGGCTGCACTTTATAACTGATCACACTGGAGATGAGGTAACCCCTCCTCCCTTCTACTTACTCCATCATGTACTATGTATCTTATTATTATAGCAAAACATTTGTTTGTTTGTTTGTTTGTTGCAGCTTCTAATGCTGAAGCCAAAGAGGTATGGGTTGGATCACAAGGAGAACTTCTCTGGAGAAGGCGATGAATACATCTACCATTCCAAGGGCCACACACTCAACCCTGGTCAAAGAGATTGGACCAGGTATCAGTCATGGCAACCCACCAAGACCCCCCAATAAATCAATCTATCTGCTTTCCCCATAAATCATAATCCATCAATAAAAGCACGCTTCAATCTTGCAAAATTCATCCATCAATCTATCATCATTCTGTATCTCTATCAATAACTTGACTTTGTCTTTTCCTTTTTCATCTATCTTCTTTCTTCAAACAATATCAACTCCATACTCCATATCAAAATGGCTCTCTACTTTTTCTTATTCATGTTTAATGTTTTACGATCCATGTTGTGATTCCTATAATATGGGAAGTTATAGATGATGATTTTCACTTATTTACCGGTGTTGTGTTGTACCACTTCCACAACTTTTTCAAAATGTGTTTAAATGCTATCATCTTTAGGAATTGCTCTCTTCAAAAACATGAATTCTTATGCCAACCGAATAGTTTTTCTAATTATGTGAAATATTAATTAGTTATGAAATTATGAAGACCAATGGAAAAATATTAAAGGTATTAACGCAGACCGACATGTTTTGTTTTACATTAAGAATAACGTGTAAGGAATATAAGCTGAATCAACAAAGGAAGGTAATGTGAACTACCCATTATAATCTATTAATTTGGATTTAGTCAACATGTTAATTGCGATAGAAAAAATGATTTAAAAGGGCAAACATTGTTTTTGTTTTGTATGCATTTAGTTATTAATGTAATTTTTTTTCTTTTTTTGAAAAATATACCGGTTAACTTATTGGTTTTGTCTATACTTACGAATATGTCTTGATGTAGTTTTTTTTTTATATAACATTGTTTTCGTTTTGCACACATTTATAGAGACGCAATTCTAACCATTTATTTTGGAGATAAAAAAATATTTTTAAAATGTAAAATAATTGAAAATTTTTGATTTTTTTAAAATATTATTTTCATCATTTATATTTTCCAAAAAAAAATAATAATAAATAAATAAATAATAAAATAAAATAATTACTGTTTTTTTTAAATATCTATGAAAATTTTTAATAGAATATTTAGTATAAAAGTTACAACAAAACTTTTAGAATATTCACATATTCTAATATAATATTAGACTACAAATATTCAAACAGTTTAAAATAGAATATTAGAATATTATTCTAACAAGTTTAGTAAAATATTAGAATATTTTAATATATGTAACAGTTATAGTAGAATGCTAGAATATTTTAACATTCTAAAAATTCAATTTGAATATTTACAATGTAATATTCTATTACAATATTTCATGTATATTAAAAAAACGATAATTAATTATTTATTTATTATTATTATTTTAGGTAAATAAAATAACAAAAATAATAATTAAAAAAAGAATTTTTTTGATTTTTTCCTTGTATTTTGCATTTAGATTTTTTTTTTTGATTTCCAAGATGACTGGTTAGGATCGCGTATCCATGTTCAATATATATATATATATATATATATATATATATATATATATATATATATATATATATATATATATATATATATATATATATATATATAGGTTCAGGTGTTTAAAGTATTTATTGTGTTATTGTATGCATAAATGTGGACCAATTAAAATTAAATAACAAATTAAATAATTAAATAAATAAATAAGGGTAATTTAGTAATTTGTTTAGTAACTTCCAAAAATAATTCGTATAATCATGATATTGACTTTTAACCTAATTTCTTAGGTTTATAAAACCTACAAGTCACTCCATCGACCAACCCGCCCACAGAAGATCGCCACCACCATCATTTGTTGTTGCCGCCACCACCATTGTTTGCTGTTGCCGCCGATCTCCAGTCGCAATTCGCCGTTATGGCCGCCGGTAATCAATTGAATTAGGTTCGCTTTCGGTTCATCAATTTGGAGTCGGAATTGAAATCGTATCGACATCAACTGAAAACGAAGGTTTGTGATTTTGTCTCCAAAATCGGAACTCCTTGTTACATTTTAATATGAACAGGTCTTGGAATCTTGATTGATTACTCAAGAATTTGAAGTCTCTTGCTGTTCGATTTAACTACACAAGATTAGAGTTCTGGACTCAAAATTGAAACGGAAATCTTGTTGATTTTAGAAATCAAAAGTCACAATTACAGCGAAACGGGAATTCGCATCTGGAACTCAAAATCGGTTTCTGTTCATCGTTATAGACATCAAAATTTCGGGTATCAAAATTGAAATCAGAATTTTTATTGGAATAAAATTGAATTCGGATTTGCACAACACAATCGAGATGGAAACTGGAATTGTCGGTCATCAATTTCGTCATTTTCAGAAACTAGATCGGAGGATTGTAAACGGAAATTTGATTTTGACTTTTAGGAGTCAAAAGCGTGTTCTTTTTTGTTCGTATGAAGAAGATGACTGATGTTATAGTCTTGGTCCCTGCAACTTCAGCGTTTTAACTATTCCAGTCCTTAAATGTTTACAGACTTCACAGATTTAACCCTCCTTTCACACTTTCAGCGTCAAATTGAAGAATATGGGTTATATTTTCATTTTACCTAATATCCGAAATTCTTTTCAAATTTCTCGGATTTTTACCATTTTTATCCCTTCTTTGCACTGCTACAGATGGTGGCGAATTCCGATTCTGTGGGAATTAAATCTCGATATTTCCTTTGTGATTTGTGTATTTTCTACGATTGCAGTTCTATCGGGATAGAATCACGAAATCCAATTCTATTGGAATGGAATCTTGAATTCTGATTCTGTCAGAATAGAATCTTGAAGATGAACATTGTATGGAATGAAGATGAACAATGACCACCGATCTTCCAAAAAGAATGGATTATTCTACCAGAATAATATACAATATAATGAAAAAAAAATGTAATAGTATATTCTCGTAGAATGATTTATATATTGTGTTTTTTTGTTATTAATAAGTGTAACATTCCCATAGAATAGTATATATATATATATATATATATATATATATATATATATATATATATATATATTTCTTTTCTAAGAATGTAATGAAATTTTTTTAACTTGTATCCAAAATTTTGTTATTCTTCAAGAAGTTCATTAAATCAAAATATATATTATGTCAGAATGTGTATTCTTGTATAGTTTAATCATATTTGTTATTTTTCAATATATTGATAAAAATATTCCGTCAGAATTTTCGAATTAGGAAAATTATCATACATACAATCAGATTTTTAAAATTAATAGAATCTATTTTTCTTAAAATATGCAATTTTCCTTTTTTAAATTTATGTTAATTGACTAAAATACCCTTAGAATGAAATTAGATGGTATTTTTTTATTATATTTAATTTAATAATATGTATTATTCACTTTCCAAAATTAAGTAAAATGATTGACCCACAATTCTGCATACAATAACACAATACTTAGTTTGAATAGAATAACCTAAGCCTATATATATATATATATATATATATATATATATATATATATATATATATATATATATATATATATATATATATATATATATATATATATGCAAAATACAATAGTTAACTTCCGACCATTCTCTGACTTCCCAAAATGCCCCAGAAGTCAATTAGTCCACCCTTGGTTAAAGTCAAAGTCAACAGTCAAGGTCAACAGTCCATATTGACCTCAACACGTCGAGTACAACCAGCCCACTCGCCGAGTTCCTTGCATAACTTGCCAACTCGCCGAGTCACTTGAGTGACTCGTTGAGATCCTAATGTTTGCGGCTGTAAACTCCTTGGCCAACTCGTTGAGTTTCCCCTGCAACTCGCCGAGTTCATGCATGTCCAAAGGTCGGGAAATTCATAGCTAACTCGCCGAGTCACTCTACTGACTCGCCAAGCCCACGACAATCTCCATCGGACTCACCGAGTCGACCATGCAACTCGTCGAGTCCCTTCAGTCCAAATCCATACAGATGCTTATTAAGCCGTCTTAGTCCAAATCTATATTGCAGATCCAACTTCCGAAGGCATGATTATCACGTAAAGTTGCAAACTTTACGTGCATGCAAGGCTCTAAGGTCTTATAATGACAAAACCAAGCTTGAAATGGAGTTTTACACTTGAGGAAAGGTTCACACTTGCTAAAGCTGAAAGCTTTATGGACTTAGAGACCAAAGAGAGTTCAGATCTGAAGTTACAACTTCAGATCTTAGCTCATACCCAAGAATAGCTTCTTATTATGCTAGAAAAGCCCTAATCTTTAAACAAATGAGATCTAGAATGAAATGAGGTCAAGATAACGACTTGATACCTTCCAAAAGATGCTAACTGAGGTGGATTTCCGATCCCCACATGTTCCTTGCTTCTAGACACTTGTTCTCCAAGTTCTTCTCACCAAGAATCCTCTTCCAAAGCTTAAAACACACAAATGAAGCACACACACAAATTAGGGTTTGCTGGACTCTCAAGAGGCTATAAGGGGGCTAAAGGAGGCAAATAATCCTTTAAATGGGGTGCAAAACCCCTAAAATTAGGGTTTCATCCTCCATCTTCTACTCGTCGAGTCCCTTCCTGGACTCGGCGAGTAGGTCACTTAAACGCGTGGACCAACCCGCTACTACTCGACGAGTCAGGGCACCCAACTCGTCGAGTAGACCTTGAAATCATGAAAATTTATAACCATAAATCAATACCTGAGAATCGAGGCATTACAATTCTCCCCCACTTGAACTAGACTTCGTCCTCGAAGTCTGCTGCGGTGAACAACCCTGTATAGTGCTCCAGCATTTCTGACTCCGGCTCCCACGTCTACTCGGATCCTTTCCGATGCTGCTACTGGTTCCCTACATTGTTCAAGTTCTCTCCGACCTGAACATCACCCAGCGATACAACCGTCTACTCATCCAATATGTGCCTTCATAGCTCAACAAACTCACTTACACCAAGCCTTCGGTATGACTGGACCGCCTACTCGGGGCCTACAGTCTCTCCGGACCGCTCGCCGAGCGTTTGACCCGACTGGGCCACCCTGCTAGGCCCTCGGTCAATTTGGACCGCTTTGGTCCGCTAACATCCTTTCCCAGTCCTACTCTTCTACTGAACCCCTGTGCCTATGACTTACCGTCGGCCCGCACCGGATATCTTGGCCTACTGCATAAAGTAGGACCGCCTCAGCCCGATCAAGCACAACATACCATCTAATATACCATCAGGATAATATATCCACATAACACCAACAATAATCTACCATGCCGCTCCTTGTCGCCCACCACATCCATAAAATACAGTCCCGCAAGCGATTACCACCAACAACATACCTACCACTACCGGTCAACCAGTACGACACTCATATCTAGCCCACATCATCCTTCGAGTTGGAACACCAATATGCCAAATCCACTTGATCATAGGGTCCGGTCATCCTCGGGATGGAATACCCTAGATTGGGATACCAACATGTCGAATCAGTTCAACCATCGAGTTGAAATTCTTAGGGTTTGTTGGCCTACCGCCTCAACCCTACCGCTCCTCTTGAGCCTCCGTGCCTACAACACGAGTCTGGTATGCCCACTCCGGCCCCAGCTCATGACTGGAATGCTCCCGATAACCTATCGACACTTCTGCCATCACTTCAGTTGTCCCAATGCTCCATCCTGAAGATTCTTACCTCCTCCATTGCCCAAAAGGGCCTAAACAATGTCCTTCACAACACCAACAAACATCACAGTACTGAAACCTCACCCCACACTATCCACTTGTAGAACAAGTTACTACCCCATAACACATATATACTCAGAACCTGATTATATAACGAACAAAATCCACACAATGTCTTCAGCATACTCCATCATCATGCTCAATACCCACACATGGATGTACAAACACATACAAAGTCTTTCCGTACACCTGAAAACCTAAGTCGTCAATACCGCCCTAAACACAGAAAATGTCCAAAACAGTAGGCTGCCTTCTGGTTGCTTCCGAAGTCCACTGAGACCTCCCCGGTCCCAACTTATCTGGAATACCGAAGTCCTGTCCGGTTGCTGAGCCAATGGTAATCTCACAGTCGCCCCACGCGACTCCCGAAGGAAACTTCGACTAGCAATAATCGCCCTAACTATATCGCTACTCATGGCTCCATCAATCATTCTGATCCATTTGATCATAACAGCCTGACAACCTGACGCCATCGAATCAGACACGAAAAGAGAACGCTACCAGAATACTGTAGTCTTACATCATGCCCGGTCTCCAACGACCTACCGTTTTCCTGATTCCGATTATGCTATGGTTTACCCACAATCTTGCGAACAGGCCCACCCTAACCTGATCATCTGAAAGAATCTGTGAATGCTACAAATCATCTCGCAGTCTCACAACACTTCTCACACCATCTGACCGCTAATGAATGTTACGGCTACCCCCGCAGTCTTACAACACTTTCTATACTATCCAATCGCTTGTGAATGCTACGGCTACCCCCTACAGTCTTACAACACTTTTGTTCTAACACAACCACAGTCTGATACCTTACCCTCAATCTATCAATCCAATTACCCTCAGAGTCTATCACACACCCGACTGAACACACGAACTGAACTCAATTCATGACTGGAACCCCAAACTGATTCCCCAAATTCTGCTATCAAGCACCGAGAAGACGCGATACACATGCTGGGAAGTTTACCGAACTCCCAACTCACACAACCCTCAAACCAAACAGCTACTTGGGCCGCCTTTCTTCCTGAAGAGGATGCGAAACTTATCCCAGTTTCGAAACCACTCCCGCTTCCGAATCCCGGGACGATTCTCCCCCACTTAGATTCGACTAAGTCTTCACAATACATGAAAATTGGAGAATTCCCAATCTTTCTCCCTTTCCAGCGATCGATCTGATAACAACCAAT